ATGTTTCTTGGCGTTCGAGAGCGCCGAGTCCAGTTCCACTTCGGTGACGACTGATCTCCTTCCGCAGTCGGTCCTCCTTGACGGCCTCGTTCTTCTTCCGCTCTTCGAGTTCTTGTCGCAGCTGGAAGATCACCTGGACGTACTGACTGACGTGTCGGTCGACAGAGATGATGTTCCGGGTCACTTTGGTCTTGATCTCCTTGGCCCGATTGGCGTACTGTAATGTGTTGTGGGTTTCGTCATAGTGTGCCGAGGTGGGAGCCACACATACGATCATCAATGTTCGACAGTTTCCTCCGAGTGAATGCTTGAGCAATCGAGTCAGCTTTGAGTTTCGATAAGGCACATGATTACCGCGACCCTTAGGGTCGCAGAGAGCATTAATACAGTTACCGAGGGCGAGGAGCGATTTGTTGATGTTAGCGCCCTCTAGCAATCTTTCGCCCTTATTCTTAGTGACCGAGGCGCGTTCTGAGCCCGCCAGATCGATCACGCTGAGGGTGGCTACCGTCCAATCATCTATCAAGCCTGCAGTCTTAGGTTTCCGTCGAATGTTGACACTCATCACCGCATGTGAACGCGACGATACCGCATTGGCTTCCGTCCCATGCACCGTCCGATGCGAGTTGCCCGAGGAAATCACCGTGATCACGTCCGAGGCACTCGTCGGTGTTAGAGTCGAAAGGCCCGGCACAGAAACCGACGAGTTGGCCTCCCGTAGGTTCAGGATTGGCGCGTTGGGATTGAGTAGATCTCGGATCGTCTCGTTGTAAATTTCCAGGTAAGAAACTTTTTTTTTCGCCAGAAGTTAAATCATTGAGTTAGATATTCTGGCTTATCTGTCACTAGATATTGAAGAAAAATATAAAGAAAAGGGATGGGAGTGATAGAATGAAGTAAAGAGATTAGGTTTTACTTGAGATTTCGGTAGTGGTATCCTCTTCTTGGTCAGCGATCCTCCCAAACAGATCCTTCATCAACAGATAGACGATTCCAGGGGCTTCAGGGGTTCCGGTGATAGTATGAGTTTTGCCGCACCCGGTTGCCTAAGGAAAGCGAAAAAAAAATCAGGAGCCCTTCAAATCAAGGAGCTGGGATAGGGAGAGGGGGGACTGACGCCATAGGCGAAGACGGTGGCATTGAATCCGCCGAGGACGCCGTCGATGAGGTCCTTAGCCGCGCCATGATAGACGTCCTCCTGGGAGGCGTTCTCGTTGAAGACCCGGTCGAAACAGAAGCGCATGTCCTTGACTTTCTTGGAATGATGGTTGAGAGTGTTGGATGGAGAGGGGGACGGTTTGGAGGAGAAGCGCGCAAGGATCTGGCGTTGGGCCTGTTGGATCGGGTTCGACTCTGCAGGGTCGAAGATCAGCACCCGGTCGTCGAGCACTTTGACGATCGATCTCAACGATTTATGCGCCGATATCGAACTCGATCTGTGAATATTGCATTTTCGTGGTTAGATAGAGCTCTCCTTTTATTAGAGAAACGCGGATCAAGATGCGTTGGATTGGTTGGATGGAAGGAAGAAAGGTATCGTACTGACTGGTTGTTTGAAGCCGAGGTCAGACATCCATCGCTGAAGATTCCCGAGGATGATGATTGGGTAGGAATCAACTGGTTCTTCTCCTTCTCAGTCAACGGTCTCACCCGCACTAAAACCAAAACGAGCGCCCATAGATAGATGGGTCAGTACATCCTGATTGAATCCAAGAAACAATAGTCAAGTGAGGTGGTTTCCTTTTGGTGAGACTGACCTGCGACTGATATTGAGCTGGCCATTCTGCTTGAGATTCGTTGTTCTGTGTGTGTTGAATTTTCGTTCGAGTTAAATAAGCTCTAGTTCATGTTCCTGGTCTTGAATTTAGGCGTGGGTTGGTTTGTTTCAGTGTTGGGTTGTTGTTGCTTGTTTTTTTTGCTGTGAAGTTTGAGTGTGATGAGGAGAACGCGTTGGATTATGTAAGCACTTCGAGTTGATTCTCATAATCACAGCAAATTCCAAAATCACCTCATGCCCATGGGAAGAACACACACACAACTTGGGCGAAAGAGATCTCCAATAGATTGCTTGAACCTGTGCATTTCTCATTTCAGAAAAACAGGATCATGTGCTCAAATCAACAATGCCATTAAAAAAACACTTTTCATGTCACAGCCTCCTAGTAGAGCACAAGAAGCGTGTCACAAAACAAAAAAGAGGGATACAATTGTAATCAGAAGAATTACAAAACAAAAGTAGACTTGATCATACAAAGTTGAATGACCTCTTCCTAGAAAAAAAAAAAAAAGAAAAAGAAAAAGAAAAGATGAACTGTATGCACATCACATCCTGACATTAGATGTATGCATCTGAAAAAAAATGAAGCATTGTCTGTCCTTACCTGAAATAATATTGATTCATGGGAACTTATCATAGCTTTACGTATCTTGTTTTTTTCCACTTATGCTACCAATACCCTGCTCATTAATAACAGTTGATCATAGTCATTGAGTGAGAGAGAAAAAAATCTACATACATACTTACATCTCTTGTCCCCTGTCCTTCCAACAATGAAAAAATGCATAAATATTTTCTTTTTAGTTTTGAATTTCACTAAAATGTATATCTGTTTATTTTTCAAACAAAAAAAAAATTGACAAATATAGCTGTGTCCTGATTATTGGCTTCCTTAATTTTGGAGGCCAATAGCAGTATGTGATGATTGGCTAGTTAATGATTAAAAACAAAGCTTAAGTAGAAGATAAACCAATATTTGAACACCCCAATTTATCAATCACTTATGTAGCTTCTGCTCCATTGTGATGTTATGCTGATAGCTACATAATTCATAAATCAGACACGAGAGTCTGGGTATAGACACAAACTGTTATCTCAATGAAAGACATCAATCAACATGAAAGAAAAGGGGTGACAAAATCTTGGACAGGTCAACATTGCCCAGTCTTGAGTGAGTGCGCAGTATGTGGACCCCCGGGGGCTGGCTGAGCGGGAGAATAAAAGCTGGTGAACTTTGGTCATCAACCAAGTTTGCAGGTTGTACTTCAACAAGCAAGACAAAAATGGTAAGAAATCTGTTGATGGAAATTCGAGTATAAGAGATTGTCTGCAATCGGAGGCTGACTTGTATGTGTGCCGAATTTACAGTCGGCCCAGATCCTAGATTTCCATCATTCCACGGGCCCTGCGCCAGCGTATGCGATCGAGTCGGATTCAGAGGAGGACGAATGGGCGGACGAGCCGAGGCAGGATGCGGAGGAGGGGCGGAGTGGGACGAAACCGAACGGGGAGGGAGTCGAGAGACCCCTGGAATGGCAGCCCACGGTTCCGGAACGCCTGGAGTTCCCTGGCGAGTCAGGGCTGCTGGTGCTCGTTGGAGATGCCGGTCTGCTCGTCGGGAGCGGCTTGCCCGAGCATCTCCGATCGCCATCCCAGTCCACCATCCAACTCGACCAATCCCTCCTGCTCTTCCAACCCGCAAGATTCGCCCTCACGCCCCGCCATGTGCCTCTCCATCTCCAATCCGCTCTGGCTCACAAACTGCTCGCCGATATCCGGCCCCCAAGCCTCACTATCATCTCTACTTATCAGGCCCCGACTTATATTCCCGCCGCTGAACACTTCCCCATTCGTTATCTCGCTTCGTCTGTCTCCGATCCTTCGTCCACTCTGCCCCACTCCCTCGAGACGATGGGTTGCCAGCATTTCCAAGTCCCTAATCTTATCAAAGGCTTTGAGGCAGCCCTCATGATTCAAGTAAGTGTTTCTTACATCCAAACATTTGTATATTCCTGCACAATATCAGAGAGAAAGAAAATCTACTTGGCAAGATTTTGGCTATATTCCAACACTACTAACGAATAAAAGCAATGATTTCTTTCCGATTCAGGCCAATATCCTCCAGATTGACAGCAAGATGATCCTCTTACCAGCGATTTCGATCCCGCATGATGACAAGTCATCGACGTCGATTCCTGTCGGCCAGTACGATTTCTCGAGCGCATCGACGGGCATAGATGGGCCGGAGAGTGCTGGCCTCCCAGCCAGTCTGCTCGGACTAGACGACCCCGCTGTTCGCCGGACACTCGGCGCGGTCATCGACGATGTCCATCTTAAACACCTTCGCCCGACTCATGGAATGGATCAACATGTCACTCAAGCCCACTGGCGCTTTCCTCTGGCCTTGGAACCCGCCCTTAAGGACGCGTTCAGAAAGCAGCTCAACCTCGATCAGCAGCTTAAACCGAAACCTCATCCCTCCGCTATGCGCGATCACGAAATCGGGTTGATGTATATGTAGTCCCTACCTTTCCCCTCCTCATGCCTTGTCTATTTTAATATTATCGGTTATATGGTTTATACCCAGTTTGATATGCAAAACGAATCGAATCCACAAACAATCAGCTTTTGATTATCGAAAATCCACAAATGATCACGCTTTGATAATCAAATTTGATACCAGTTAGCTAAGTATAACGCCCTCAAAAGTCATAAAATGATCCAGTGTCCTGTATGGACCAAAATGAGACTCAAGGAACATCAAGATCATGAAAAAAGAGACAACAAATCATCCAATATGATATGCCCTTTCTCACATCTTGCACTTCTTGATCAGAAAGCGTGGTATCTATGTATCTACTTTGATACCCCCAAATGAAAGTATCTACGTAAGCTCACAGAAGTCAGAACCTTCTCCAGCCGAGCTCTTTCCAAGGTCATCAAATCTTGAGAGAAAGGAGCACCGTTTCCATTCAGGACCATCAAGTCACTCATTATGTCTGTATATGTGATTACCACAGAGAAGACAAACTTGCAAAGTGGGAAATTAGTAACGGAAGTGTCGAGAACGCTCGAGACAAAATGAATGTGCTAAGGTAAGACTCATCTCATTATACTTCCTTTTCTTGTTTAACTTTGGGGCCATTACATTCAAAGGCAGGATCATCTGCCAGTGCCAGTACTCGGTGTCCACGCATGTATGTATGTGCTCTTATGAGGCACGTAGAATTGGAGTCTGTTAACACCCGTAGGCTGTAGCCAAGCGTCACCTCGCGATCCGGTGGATTGGATACGTGAGGTTTCAACCATTGTCAGTGGTTACCAGTCGATACTACAGCACTATGAAGATAAAGTCTATAACTAAATCTATCGCGAAGAGATGCAAGGGTGCCCCACACGCCCGAATCCGAGGAACGTTGATTCAGTTTTGTTGAGGGTAATCGATACAACACTTGAATCCAAGTCGCAGGACTCTCGATTGCGTTGCTCAGAAGCCGTCCATCACTACTAGGATTGCAAGGTCAAAAGGCTCTTACCAAGACAACAATTCTGGCCATCATGCAATTATTTACTTTGTCCTTCAACTTCAACTTCACCTCACCCAGCCAGCTGTTCAATTTATAATAATTAACTTGAATCTAAACCAACCTTTGGATCAATCATCATGAAACTTATTACTACCCTGGAGGTCTCGATAGTTCTCATGGCTTTAAACCAAGTAAGCGGGCAGATTTCGCCGCAGCGTCTAGTGGATAGTTTTGATTGCTCGTCCCAGCGGTGGGCCGCTACGCTACACTACGCTACAGGCCCATGTAGCGTTAGCGTAGCGGCGCCATTTTTTTTTTTTTCGCGTAGTGTTAGCGCGCCGCTACGGCCGCTGCGCTACGCTAATTTGTAGCGGCGCTAACACTCGCCAATTTTTGGTGTAGTGTTAGCGCGCCTCTGGCGCCGCTACGCTGCGTTACGCTACGCTACAGCGTTTTTAGCGGCAAAAAACCCCTAAAAACCGCTAAAAACTGCTGTAGCGCAGCGTAGCGGGCAGTTTTTTGCGCCCTGCGCGCGTAGCGTTAGCGCACATGGGGGGAATCGCGCTAACGCTACGCTAAACGCTAGCGCAAGTTTTTTCCCCATTCGCGTAGCGTTAGCGCGGAAAATGAGAAAAGCGCTAATGCTACGCTAAATTGTAGCGGGTTTTCGCTACACTACGCTACACTAACGCTACGGTTAGCGTAGCTGGCCCACCGTTGCTCGTCCTTTCCGCAAAACGGCCCCTTCTGCGTGAAACCGACACCCAACTCCCCCGGTTCCTTCCTTGGTCAGTCTTATGTACATCTATATCTTGCTTGCATAGATTTATTGTTTTCAAGACGAATTGATGTTCTGTTCGATCGCTAGTCGGCAAGGCAAGGCTCACTGAGGGAAATGCTGTAGCTGGACCCAAGCCTTTTTGCAACGACCTCAGTCAGGACCCCAAGACTAAAGTGAATGGCACTGGCACCTGTTGTGACAAAAGGCTTCAGGTTCCCACGGTGAGTAATCACTTCAAGTCCTTCATGAATATGAATATGATTCTGGCATTTAATGCTGAACATTGGTTGGTCACCTTTGTACATATTTATTGTCCGAAGACACTCAACCAGGTGCAATTAGGACAAAAATGTGGCACTAATAGTAATGGAGGGGCACCTGCACAGACCAATAAGAAGCCAAGGCAAAAAAACTAGATCTATTCACCAGTACTTAGGACTCTTCACCAGCTTGCATTCTTGGAATGTTTTCCAATATTTTGTTTATTCATCTTTTTTAATGGTGGACCAAAGATCTGGAATTGCAAAATTAATACTGGTTCTCAACAACAATCAAGTTGACTTAAGCCATTGCAACATTTGTAGTTGACATATAAGCCCATTTCACATAGGTGCTAGATCAGAAATCAAATTCATTGACTGAAACTTTGGCCCATTCCCACACTCACACATGTTAAAACACCCTACTTGAACCAGGCTATTGGGTGCGTGGCATATTGGAGGACTTCCTGTCACCATTTAGAGTGCTTTTTAAGCACTCCCCAGGCCTAAATTTACACCTCAATCATAATTCCAACCAGCTCACATGAGAGCTATCTTCCCAAGGCTTATGAAAAAATATTTTTTTTATATCAAAAATTAAGATCTTGGGGGTGTAAATCAAATTCTGGGAGGGTTGTAAACCGCGACGGGAAGTCATCCATTAATGAAAAATATAAAATAATAACATAATCTACCTGTAGAGTAACAAACAAATAAGCAAATAGAACAAAATGAATAAGACAGGAATGGTTTTCAAAGTCGTGTTTCTCACTTTTTGCACCCTTATTTCTTGCCCAATTCTTGCATCAAACTTTAACACCTTCAGCGAACATTCAAGTCTGGTGACCTTCTTGCAGATATCAAAATCCTTCTTGAAAAAGGACATGGTAAAACCCTACTAATATATGAGGAAATCAAGTGAACAAACAATTATTATGAATAAATAAAAAGGGAAATTTCACCATGATATAATATGATGCAGGATGAGACATGTTCTTGTTGAATAGAATTGGTATGCTGGAATGTGAACAGATGTTCTCTAGTTGAGAAATTCCACCACAGTGTGAGGGAACTCAGAAAGACTGATGTTCTCAGGTTAAAATAAATTCTGTGGCATCCATCAATCTTATGTGCATTTGTATCTTGCCTGAGTTCTGTGGATCAATTTTTTTCTGACTTTGTTTTTTCAATGTTGGTCAACAAGGCTTTAGTAGATGTTTAAATGCTGCCAGCTGTCCAGTCATGACAATGTGTTGGCCAAAACTTTCCACCCTAACCCAAAAATACATGGGACCAGCACCTGAAATAACAACAACATTCAGGCTTCCACAAGTCCTTGCTGAATATGAAAATGTTTCTCAGCTTTACTCCCAAACACTATTGCTGTTATTTTCCATAATTAATGTTCAAAGACACTTTACCGAGGACAATCATCAAGAAAATGTGGTTCCAAGTAGTGACAAAGGGATGCCAAGCAGAATTCAAAGCCAAAAAAATAGACTATGTGACCAGCATGCTCTGATGTTTTTCCAGTTGTTTTGTCTACTCATCTAACTTGAAGGTGGACCTTAGAACTAGTGGCTCCTAAAATTTTTTAATGACAATGAGAAATCTGGACTCGCAAAATTAATGCTGGTTCTTATTCAAGAGTCTCAAATTTAATCTATTACTGAGCTGTCTATTTCAGAATATTTATTTCAAATACAATAACTGAAAGTTTGGTAGTGGCAGGTCTGGAATGTAGATGATTACTATTACACCAAAAACAGGCTAAAACAAAGCCCAACTCCCCTGGTTCCTTCCTCAGTCAGTCTTATGTACATTTAAATCTTGCTTGCATTGCTTCATTTTTTCAAGTTTGATTAATGTTCTTTTTGACTGCTAGTTGGAAAGCCAAGGTTCGCTGATGGGTCTACTGTAGCTGGACCAGCTCTTTTTCAAATAAATCTGGCAACTATCTCATTAAATTGAGATATGGTATCTGGTCAGTATCTTGAGCTTTGGGGGGGGGTCTGGGAGATACTCTTCAGATAGCGGTTTTGGGCCAAACAGCCCCTTAATAAATCTGGATTAGATTATCAAGCCAATTGGTCACAAGAGAAATGTTACTTATCCCATGATGGGGCCTGCTTTGTCATTTCACAAAGAAACAAAATAAATCTCTAGGTGTCTCAATTCCAGGATCAAATTGGTATGGCCCTGGGATCACACATCGCTTATTATAAAAACATTGGTGTGTGGTTAAACACCCCAAAACTTCTTTTGGGGGGATTTGGATGCTGGAATCTACCTTGATATCTGGTATGCACTGATCAACACCGTTTTCAAAGGAGGAATATATCAGTTGGTTCTGTTGGAGAGGGGTGAATATTGAAATTTCATCTGTTTTTTTTGAGGGCTTTATTGTTTTTTGGCTTATTTTTTGGGGAGTTTTCTATAATTTGTTTTATGTTTTGTTTTGAATTGATATTTCCTGGGGATCATCATGGATTGGGAATCAAATTAAATCTGGACCATGGGCCAGTCCACTGGGAGGAGGAGTGTTGCAATGTGGGCATTTAATCTTTGCTATCCAGTATCCTGGGTAGTTTTTACTGCATTGTGCAATATACATCATCATTGATTCTCATACACTGTATGTGCATTGCGTTATAAGTGGATGCTCTATCCAAGTCCGAGTGCTCTATATAGTCACTCATCTGCTTCTGCTGCAGTAAGTGCAGATTAACTCAGCTATCCCAGTTGAACTGTTGACATTCCATAAGATTGCTGGGTCTTCACAGTCCCTTGTGTGATCAATCAATGATGATGTAGCAATGAGGAATTCCAGTGTTGCTAGGACTATGAACCCAATCAAACACATCATGTGTGACTCAGAGGTTTTGCAAGATCAATTGGAGTGAAGTGGGGTTCAAACAGGTAACTTTTGTAACTTTTTCGAAAGGTGAAATAGTTGACTAAAGTAAAGGTCAATGTACCCAACTCATGGACTATGTGGGTATGATGAAGAAAATGAACAAAGAAATATTTAAAGTCTCAGACTCAGTGAAGCAATCAGCCTCAGATCACTTGTAATAAAGTATGTCAACAAAAGATAAAACCAGAATAAAATGCTTGGCAGAATTGAGATGTTCTTATTGAATTGAACAGCTACGGACACCAAATTTGTGCTGGTCATCTGATATTTCATATTTGACAAGTTGAATACTACATT